AATTTCAGTTATTTCTCATTTTCGTTTAGATGAAATACTAAAGTAGACTAAACCTAAAAACTGAAACTTAATAAATAAAATATCTATTTTTAAAAAATGGAAAAAATGACAAAAACTTACAACAAAATTGATAAAACATTAAAAAATTAAAACAAAATATAAACATCATTTATTTAAAATGTTGGCAAAACTATAGTTTTTATTATGTATAATATAGTATATTATTATGTAGTAGTATTAATGATACTAAAAGAACTCTTAGCCACACAATGGCTTTTCGCACTGCACATAACCCTGGTTTAAGGCGATTTTATTTCCTCAATGAATTCTGTGGCCGTTGTGTTTTTCTCATTCACTAGATTCTGAAACTGTATCATCAGCACCACAGCTCCATTATCTCATAAAACGCTTGGTTTCCCACAGATGAGGCTGACTTCCTTGGCCAGATCTCAATGCAGTGATTTGATGACCACAGCTTTCTCATGCGCTAGTGCTAACTCGTGAATTTGAGAGATTCTCTAGGGCATCTTAATGTTGGCCAGGTTCTTTTAGTGTAACAGATGGGCAAATGTGGGCTCAGCTTAACACTGTTTGTTTGACAATTTGGATGTGTTTGGCTGTGTACTAGACATGATGAGTGCTAGCTGGAGGACGTGTGAAGAGACTTTGCCCACAGACAAAGATCTAATACGATGAATCTCTCAAAACCTGTCAAGAACATGTCCGGTCTGACCGGGTCATATTTTTTCAATCAAATCAAAAGAAGGGACGAACAGAGCGAACATGTACATTTTTAGTGGGGATCGTGTTTTAATTAAAAGTTGATAATGTTCTGTATTTGTTCTGAATAAACAAATGTAGTTTGGTAATTAGCAGTTTAAGCATAAATTATGGCTTTTAAATATAATGTCAACTGGCTACAATTAGGCTACTTGTCTTTTATAATGTGTGTGTGTGTGTGTGTGTGTATATATATGTGTATGCATGTATATATATATATGTATGTATGCATGTATATATATGTATGTATGTGTGTGTATATATATGTATGTGTGTATATATATATATATATATATATATATATATAGTGTGTGTGTTTAATTTTTTTTTTTAAATAATTAGCATATGCCCCTGAGTGTCTTTATTATATCTCATAATTTTCCTTTAAAGAAAAAATAAAATGTAAATGTAAATTTTAAGTTTGTGTTCAGTAAGTTTGTTTATTTTAATGAATTTAATATTTGTATTCAGCAAGGACACTTTATCAGAAGTGCCAGTAAATTTATGATGTTACCAAAGATTTATTTATCAAATAAATGCTATCCATCAAAGAACCTGAAAAAAAAAAAATATATATTTCAACAAAGTTATTAAGTAGAACACCCATTTTCAACATTTATAATATTTAATGTAACAATAATCGGATATGCTGTCACAGGAATAAATTACATAAAAACGTAAGAAGCTTCTTTAAAAAACAACAAAAAATCTTACCGATCCCAAACTTGATTTTTTTCTGTATTAATACAATATTATAGTGAATATATAATAAAAATTAATAAAAGTAAAATATAAGAAATACTAAAAAATAGCAACATGTCCAGACTTAATTGTTGTCCTTTTTTAAATATTTTATTTAAATGTATTATTTTATTTTATTTTATTAGTTTAACATTAAATATGACCTGTTTTTGTAAGATTCACCCAATAGCTTATTTGTCTACCAGAGCCACACATTGATCACTTTGCAGCCGTGATGCTTTAGCGTTTCATAAATGAGCCTCTGTTATACTATCATCTGATCTTTTGATCTCTATATATTCCCTGATGACAGCCAAAGTAATGTTCCACCGTTGGCCAGAATGTTCAGCTTGCCCGCTGCCACAGCAACACTGTTTGTGTCAGTGGATCGAGACAAAGGTCAGTCGTCTCTAGCACAGCCGAATTCACACGTTTCCCCCTCAGGATGGGACGGTGACGTGCATGCACATCCATACTTATGAGAAGATGTATCCGAGTAGAGTCAAAGCAGGCCCTTGTCACATGATCCATGTTTGCTCAACCCAAGGAAGTCATGTGGACCTTCTTTGTCGTCCTCTTTTTGTTTTCCTGGAAGTGACCTGCGAGGCATTCGGTTTATACTTAGCTCATCCTGGTTGGTCAGCAGCGTGCGCTGGGGAACCAGAGCGGTGTGTTGAGCCGGTGGTAAACAGAGGATCGACTGTGCGATAACACAGACGTTTCTGATGAGACAGCATGGCAGATGTGGGTGAAAGGGGAACACGGGAAGCTTAGTGCTCATCCTTGACTCATGGATGAAAGGGGTCTGTGTGTTTGTGTTGATCAGGCCATGTGTTCAGGAGTGTGTCCCTGCTCAGACTCACGTAGAGCATGCGGCGGTCGGGTCAGGTGTGACTCATATATATCAGTGAGCTTGTAATGAGTCTGAGAGGGAGGCATTTACTGCCCTTTCACCACACAGTAAATAGAAGTTGAGCCAGACCACCAACAATTTACAGGGAAATCCCACTGTCTGCCACCGTCTGCCTCGGTTTGTCTTAGTGCCCTGCTGAATGGTGGATACCGTGGATGCAGTATCATACACTCTCAGAAAAAAAGGTACAAAAGCTGTCACTGGGGCAGTACCTTTTCAAAAGGTGCACTTTTGTACCTTTTATGTACTAATATGTACACTTTAGGTACTAATATTTACCTTAAAGGTACCAATATGGACTGTTTAGGTACAAAGGTGTGCCGTTTGAAAAGGTACTGCCTCAGTGACAGCTTTTGTACCTTTTTTTCTGAGAGTGTAACCAGGTCTCATTTCACCTCAAAATCAGATATTGTATTAAAGGGGTGGTTCACTGGATTTTTTCCAGGCTTTATTGTGTTTATGGGGTGCAGTCTAACATGTGTTAATGCTTCGTTTAAAAAAAAAAAACGCATTATTTGTCACATAATTTACCTTTATTCCACACCGCTCTGTCCCTTCTCTGAGAAACACGCTGATCTTTTCCTGTTTTTATGAAGCCCCACCCTCAGAAATAGGCGATGGGCTCTGATTGGTTAGCTAGCCCAGTGTGTTGTGATTGGCTAAACTGCCTCTAGTGCGTGTCTTTTCTCTTCCTCTTCTCTAAAGCAGCGCAGCATGGCCTCGCCCCCTTTGCTGCCTTTTCCCGAGGGCGGGGTTTATCTGGGTTTGTGATGTCACGAACCTGGGAAGTAACTCGTTGTAGTCCCTTACCAGTCGTTTTTGTAGGCATTAAACTGCCAGAATTTTAAAAGACGATATCTCCGTTTGCATTGAACTTTCAGCTTCGTAACTTTGCAGATATTGTTTATGCTCAAACAGCAACATTACACACTAACTAACGTTAAAAAAGTGAAATCGCAATCAACCACCCCTTTAAAGAAAATTAAGTTGACTTTTATGACTGTTAAGATTTTTTGCACTGCAGTATTTTTATTTTATTTTATTTTATTCAGTTTTTATATGGAAGTCCAAGCTTTGACCAAGGTTACATTTATTGGTTCAAAAATACAGTAATAGTGTAAAATTGAATTACTATTGAAAATAACGTATTTCTGTATATTTTAAAATGTAATTGATTCCTGTGATGCAAAGCTGAATTTTCAGCATCATTCTTCCAGTCTTCAGTGTCACATGATCCTTCAGAAATCATTCTAATATGCTGGTTTGCTGCTCAAGAAACATTTATTATCATTATCAATGTTGAAAACAGTTGTGCTGCTTAATATATTTGTGGAAACCGTGATATGCTTTTTTCAGGATGCTTAGATATAGAAAGTTTAAAAGAAAAGCATTTATTTGAAATAAAAGGCTTTTGTCACCTACATAACTTTGTAGAGTTTGATTATAATTCTAGCACATATTAAAATGATCTGCACTATAAACACTTTTATAAGCTGATAAAAAAAGAACAATCCCAATAAGCCAATTCCATTCCAGTTCTTGCTTTTGTTCTTTCTTTTCATGTCTGCCCTGCGTCAGTTGGGCGTCTTTGGTCAATACATCATGACTTTATTCTGTTTATTCATTGTCTTTTACTATGCGGGCCATTCAATAAATATTATACACTGTACAAAATATATTGTTACTTTTCTGCATTAGAGTAATGAAAATGAGTGTTTTTTTCCACAACATCACAATGAAATAAAAACATCTTAGTAGCTTTATTTTTGAGTTCTTAAGTATGAGTTCTTATGTCCATCTTTTGATTTTGTGGAGAAATATAAACCGAAATACATATTTTTGCATAACTAAAAACATTTTTGGTAAATATTTAAAAAAAATATATGTATATAAAAAAAAAATTAAAGGTTATCTTATAATCTTTATTAATGTTGTGATTGTTTTGTGATCTCTTTTAGGGTCATGGGTAGAGCTGGAGATGAACAGAAACGCTGCATCTCTCTCTTCCTCCAGCGCCTCAGTGCCACCCCCTTTAGCCCAGGTAGTAGAGGAGGATGATGGGATGGTGGGGGGGCTGGAACACGTTCCCTCATCAACTTCCATCCACAATGGAGACATGGAAAAAATCCTGCTAGATGCCCAGCACGAATCCAGCCGCAGTAACTCCTCATGCGACAGGTAGACAATGGCTGCAATATAACAAAGAGTGAAAAATTTAAGGGGGTCTGAATACTTTCCGTACCCACTGTATGTCATATTTATGCCACAAAATGAAAATTCTGTCATTATTTACTTACAATCAAACCTAACACAAGCTAAAGCATGAATGAGAACTGAGTGGAATTGAGAAAACATGGAATGACACAACAGAATTTTCATCTTTGGGTGAACTATCCCTTTAAGATGTTGTTTACATAGTCCACGTTTATATATATATATCATCTGCAAATGTCACCTGAGTTCACAGCTTGAGTTTAATGACCTCATAGATAGAGAGCAGTGCTGTGTACATCCATACCAAAATACACGTGGTCACACTGACCTCATGCTGATAGGATACGGCCATAATAACCCTTATCTCACTCAAACTCAGTGAGTCATATGATTCTGGATGTTTACTGTAGGAATACAGTGTTCCTCTCTCATATGTACACAGACTAATGTTCTCTCAAGCACTGTTCACACAGAAATGAAAACTGCCGTTCTAAACCTGTATGAATGTCTTTGTGCTGGGAAACACAAAATGAGATATTTAGCAGAATGTCCCAGCTGCTCTATTCCATACAATGAAAGCTGTTGGGACAAAAATGACAACAAATTATCATAAAATTATCTTCTGAAGTCATACAAAAGTCATTTTAATGACAATTTTTAGCTTACTTCAAACTGATGTGTCCCACAGCCCTCCTCGACCTCACAGTCCTCAGGATGAAGGCCAGATCATTTTCGACGTGGACATGAGGAGGGACAGTCAGGTACTTCCTCTTGAGAACATTGTGGATCATCTAATTTATGGAACGTACTCTGGCTTATCTTCATTACCTGTCTGTGCTTGTGTTTGGGTGTGTCTGTGTCCACTCAGGAGGAAGTCATGGAGAAGATCAGAGATGATGACATATTAATGAAGGATTCAGACCGGGTCGCAGACTGGTCAAGTAGACCTGAGAATATTCCACCTAAGTAAGCACTAGCGAGGACTCAAATGCAGTGCTATTTAGTGTCTTTCAGATACTATTATAGTTTGTATTAATATTACATTTTTTATGTCCATTTTCATTTTAACGTTTTTGTCTTTTTTAAGTATATAGTTTTTATCAATTATTATTTTAGTTTAAGATTTAGTACATCCAATTAAATGAATGAAAATGAGAAATGTTGTCTTGGCAATTATTTTTTTTTTTTTCAGTTAATATTTATTTTGTTCTAACAGATTTTATTTTTAATTTTTTTGCTTTTAGTTTTAGTTAACTATAATAACCCTGCACTGCCCACAAGGCTATCAGCGCCGACATAATTCTGCGATGTTGCCAAATTTAGGTCAGAATGAGGCATTTTAGAATTTAAAACAGTACTCATGCCAGAATTATGCATATGATCCCTCAACAAGTGATCTGGATAGGGAGCTCACTAGGTTTTGTGACACATATAGTGTTTTGAGTTTTTTTTTTGTTCAGGCCAGGTGGGATGCTGTTGTAATGACTGGTAGATTGATCTTTCTGACAGGGAGTTTCATTTCCGGCACCCGCGGCGTTCAGTGACTCTCAGCATGAGGAAGACAGGAGCCATGAAGAAAGGAGGGATCTTCTCTTCTGAGTTCCTCAAAGTGTTTATCCCCTCACTGCTTCTGTCCCACATCCTGGTCCTGGGTCTCGGGTAGATACACCTTAAAACACAATCACACTTCACACATGTAGTTTAGGCTTCTAGTGCTCGTACCTCTGAGTCTGACATTCGTTATTACGAGAAGTTACACATTCAAAAAAGAATCGTTACATGAATGCGAAAAACAAAAGTATTATATTGTGATATAATTGTGAAATAACTACATCTATATCTATCTATCTATCATTCTTTCTTTTTTTTTTACTTTTGTCATTTATGCATCTTATCAAAGCAAATTTTGGGAGTACATAAAGCAAACTGTGACAGTTAAGCAATAAGCAAATAATAGCATGTAAAATGAAAATAACTTGTAAAATTATTAACTATAATTCATTATAGACTTGATTTCTGCTCACTGATCTTTTTATAAATATTATAGATTTTTTTTATGTGATATTATATATCATAGATCTGTGTATCCACAATGGTTTAAATCAACAACTAGGCAATTCATGTATTTAGAATTCAGAATTTCCCGTACATACAAATTAGCTTGGTCATTTATGTGCTCAAAACTCGTAAATACAGTATTTCCGACTCCACTTGAAGGGCACATTACTTAATACAAACGGCCTCAAAAACGCACAATATCCACCTTTTTCCTAAGTAACTGATGAGCTCCGACATGATGGATTCTAACTTCTGTTTGGATGCTCTCCATGTTAATTCCATGTTAAAATGATTGACTGAATTAATTAAACTGAAACTTTCAAAATATAACTAAATATAAAAATGTGCACAGAGCTAAGCATCTTTCCGCTATGAGGCAAACAAGACTTCTGCATTCAGGAAAAAGGTGGATATAGACAGCATACCATGCAATTTTGTCAAATCTCTCAACTAGTTTTCTCAGAATAGCTTTGAAAACACAACTCTCTTTCCCAGTGAAACAATAAATAACCTAAGCACCCTGACTTCTGGAAGTTGCACAAAACTAGACTTGAAGATTTCAGATTCTGGAAAGCTTTTACATTTTTTGTGCGGGATAAGCATGTGGTCACATTTTCGTAATTTTATGGGTGAAATGGGTCTATTATTTATTGCCAATAGTGTAGTGATGTATGAAGCACTGCTCACACAGAAATCATTTTCAAACCTGCATCTTTTTGTTGGTTTAATGCGCCGATTTTGTGTGACCAACTCGAAAGCATTGTAAAATATGCTCTGGGAAATCTTTCACCCCCAAGCAATCAATTCAATCACGCAGATTCCTATTCGCAAAAACTTCGCTGAACAACGGTAAATCGGTGACTGCACATTAACAGTATTCAATATTCCACCACCAAGACAATTCACACACCACTGATTAGTATGTATCTTAAAGAGATAGTTCACCAAAAAATTTAAATTGTCATCATTTTACTCACCCTCATGTCGTTTTAAATCTGTATGAGTTATATAGAAGATATTTTGAAGAGTGCTGGTAATCAAACAGTTGATGGTTCCAATTAACTTCCATAGAAATTCTTTCCCTACTATGGAAGTCAATGGAGACCAACAACTGTTTGTTTCTTCAAAAGTCTTCAGAATACCTTCTTTTGGTGTTCAAAATAAGAAAGAAACATATACAGGTTTAAAACGACATGAGGGTGAGTAAATGATGATAATTTTATTTTATTTTTTTGGACTATTCCTTTAACGACTGTGCAATATTCCACATATGAAGTGTCTGACTTTTTCATTTCTCTTTCTTTTGTCCTGTATCTCTAAAACAGGGTCTATATCGGGAAAAGACTGACAACTTCCCCTGCAAGCTCCATTTGAACACCGATCTGATCAAGTGCCTCAGGCATGGCCCAGGTGGATTAGGGAGAAGGTTGCAGTTTGTACGAAGAAGCCCCCCGCTGCTCCCTTCTGCTCCTTTAAGTCCTATCAGCAACATTTCTCCCTTTTTTAGTAATTCCTTTAATTAGCCTTTCCATGTTGAGAAGCATAAGTGATAAACTTCTCCTCATTTCAGGCCCTTTTCTTTCTCGTTTATCATTTTCTGTATCCCTTTTCCAGTTGTGAATGTTCTAACACCCCCTTAGCAGTACTATTTTATTTTGGAAGTATTTGGAGCATTGCATGAAACCAAATGCACACATGCTAGCTCCACACTAGCTCGATTCAGCTAGGAGGCAAAAAACATCCCATTTTGGTCCAATCACATGACCCAACAGGTGATAAAGAATCCCCCTAGTTTTCACCCTCAAAATGGAATCAACCAAAATATATGACTTATTGAAATTATACGAGCATGCCTGAGCGCTAGCTAAGATTTTATTTATTTCTACAAATGCTACCAATTTAGTTATTTTATTGACTTCAAGGGCGGAACGCCAGGATGATGGACTTGGGAAGGATAGGGCTCTCTGTAGACCCCAAACTCATCTGTTGAGGATGGAAAATTAATAACTCAGACATAATATATGTTTATGACTGTATCACATGCAATTTTATACCAAGTTTTGCATAATCTTTTACACGACCCTGACAGAGACAACATCTGTTACTTTGAATCATCTGAATTTTTAAAAAATATTTCATCTCATGAACATAGATAAAAACCAGTCTGATGGGGCTGACGGATCCCTATATGAAAAAAAGATTTGTTGTGTCGTTTTGTTAGTTTCCTTCACATACATATCAGGACCTAGTGATTTCTTACTAGGCGTCTACAACATAACCTACTTTGCAATACTGCACAATTTACCATTAGCATTCAGAGCTGAGAGGATCTTGCTAACAAGGACAGCGGCTTCAGTGTTTTTCCATACTATCTGTGTCAGACTTTCTGGAAATGTTGTAGTACAATCTCATACTTCTCAGTCTCGTACTTATTTATAGCATTTCCATGCTGTTAGCTTGAGGACAACAGTACAAGAGAAACCTTTCTTCAATTTACAGGAATAGCTCATTGAAAAAAATGACATTCTGTCATTATTTACTAAACTTCATGTTGTTCCGAACTTGTATGTTTTTATTTTATCTGTAGAACACAAAAGACGAAACTTTGAAGAATTTCTGTGCTGCTCTTTTCCATAATAGAGATAAACTGGAAAAGAGCCGCTTGAGTTTCTTTAAAATATCTCCAAAAGGTTGAATGATGGCAGAATTTGAATTCTTGTGTGAGCTACTATTCAAGCACACTTACACAGTCACGCACATTTAGTGAACACTAACACTCCAGCACCACGGGTGACTGTGTTATCCTGGGCATGAACATCCCAGCGCTCATCTTTGGGAACAGGGTTTGTGTTTTCAACCCTAAAGTGAATTATCCTCAAGTCTAGTGTTTTTGTCTCTTTTTAAGTGTATTTTGGATGTGTGAACATGTTTCCTTTGGTCTATCTGAGGATCTACTTCTCCTCGAACACAGCTGCCAAAACCAACTGAGAGCTCAACTCTTATATGAACTTTGTGCCTCGTTTCCTTAATCATGTTTGATACGGCGTCCTGTCACCATTTCCTGTCATCATGTGCGTGTTTTGTGCCACAAGCTCGTTCTTTTTGTTGTTTCGCACCATCTTCTTGGTGAACTTGAGTTTTGGAAGGTTTTTCATATGCTTTGTTTGGATTTATTAAGTCTTGAAAAATGAAGGCAAACTAGAAGAGAACACTCTTAAAAATAAAGGTGCTTAAAAGATGCCATAGATGAACCATTTTTGGTTCCACAAAAATAATTATCTCTTACTTGCCTTTTTATAATCTGAAGAACCTTCTTTCACCACAAAGAACCTTTCGTGAAACAAAGGTTCTTCAGATGTTTCTTCTATGGCATTGTGAAACACCTTTAAGCATTTTTGGTTCCACAAAGAACCATTCAGTCAAAGGTTCTTTAAAGAACCATCTCTTTCTTGCCTTTTTATAATCTGAAGAACCTTCTTTCACCACAAAGAACCTTTCGTGAAACAAAGGTTCTTCAGATGTTTCTTCTATGGCATTGTGAAACACCTTTATTTTTAAGAGTGAAGGTACATGATGGATAAAGGTTTTAGTTCTTTTATTTGTATTGGTGTTCAAATTGTGGTCGGAAAGAACCCTCCTTTGTGGAGATACTTTCTTTAGACTTCAATGCGATGATTAAATTAATTGTAAGTTTATTGATTTGACAGACCTTTTTTTCCTCCCCTGTTGGACAATGACAAAGTTTTAAAATAAAAAATGTAATGAACAATCTGCATTTTGTTGTTTTGTGTCCCATTGTCGCCAAACATTATTTTCTCTGTTTGTGGACATTTTCCCATCTGCTCAATATTTATCAAATATATCTGCTCAAAATATATTCAGGAATCATGTTTTTAACCCTGTTTATTAATGGAATTTTGTTAAGTTTCATGCAATTATTATTTTTTTTTGTCAATTTCATTTTAATAAAAATACACTGTTATTGTCCTAAGTCAAGCATCTATGACTGTTGCTCAGTGTCAAATCATTTTTATTTCTTTTTTTGGTAACACTTTACTTAAAGCCTTTATTTATAATGCATTATAAAAGTAGTTTTAATGCATTAATCATGCCTTGTAATACACTTTATAATACATTATAATAATTGTAACCACATTACACTTATCAATTCATTGTTACACTAAGCATTTTAAATTTGGTTATAATTACTTACAAGATATAATATATTACAAAGCTCATTATGAATAATTATATTGCATTATACCCTTTAATAACCCTTTATAATGCATTATACTTGAAGGCTTTAAAGGTTACCTTTTTTATACCAGTATATAACCATCCAGCAGTACTAGCAACCACTCAGAACACAGCATTGGCCTATATTAGATCTCCAGAGCTGGGAATGTCTGGGAATTCGACCTGGGGTCAGATCTTCTCCGGCTCTACAGTTCACACACCGAGCCTGTTGTTGAAACTTCTGTGAGATGATTACGTTGGAGCCAGACTGCACCAGAGACTGATAGAGTGACGTCTGAGGTCCTTTCATCAACCATTTGTCATAATACACACAACTCCCAGTTATTATGATCTCACCACATTCCTCCCATTAGTGTGGCTTAATTTCTCATTGACATGTGAGGGTTAACCAGCCCAGGCTCCTCCTAAACATGAATTCGGACCATTCTGGCAACTCTCCGGCCCAGCTTACATCTGACTCATGTTTCTTGCACAAGTTCATGCCCTCATCCTAACTGTGAATATGAAATGCCTGTCATATTTGTGCTCTGTCATTGTTTCTGTCAGTTTTTCACAGTCTCTTGCTGAAGCTCCTTATGGTAGAAATCACTGAGAGTTGAATGAGCACCACAGTGCCATTTATGAAGGCATATTATGAATATGATATCTGTGGCTGAAATGCTTCATCTGTCCTTTGATTGGTTTTACAGCAACCTGCAGAAAAGCTATTACTGTTGAATCCATTTCATCCATTGATTTTGCTGCACAAATTCATTTGTGCTATATCCTCGAGGGGCGCTCCGCGCATTTACCCAGAGCTAAGAGGCTAAAACTAATTTTACCGACACTAAAACGCCTAAATTGCCTTTGTGAGTTCACCTGGTTTTAATTTAATTAAAAAATAAACCAGTTTAGATGGCGTTGACAGTCTAAAGCGATACTCGACTGCCCTCTAGTGGCGCAGATGGGAAATTAAGGGTGTGCCTCATTCTGACTGAACACGACTGGGTGAGAAACGAAATCATTTGTATTCCAAAGCGTTGTGGTGTCTGTTTATGGATACTGTTGCCTACAACTACACATCTTTTTTTCCACAGTTTACCCCTGGCAGGTCTTCATTGCAGAAGCCAAATGATTGATGAGTCAGCAGTTGCTGCAACCTGCAGGGCGTTTTCATATTGAGCACAGAGATGCAAATCAGATCACAATACAGTGGATCGGCATGAATCTTAATGCATGTTGTTTTGCCATGATTAATTGCATCTTATTTGATCCAAGTGTGCCATATTCACACAGCTATACACCAATCAAAAGTATCCGAGGTTAAATGTTCTAAATAATTTGTCACATGTAGCGACTTTGTATGTAAATGTAAGCTTTTTTTAAATAATTATGCCCTTCAAATAATAGGTAATAAAACTGGAGTTCCTGTGAGTTCTATATTCTACCGCATAGGCTGTGGTGGGAGGAGCTGTGATTGAATTGGCCGTCTTGTGATTGGCTGAAACAGGTGTTCTGAGGTTCCCTAGTCAATGATGACTGATGCATGCTTGTTTGTGTGTGTGTGTGTGTGTGTGTGTGTGTGTGTGTGTGTGTGTGTGTGTGTGTTGTGTTCCAAAACAAGGCCATTATCTAAGCCACATAATGACTTCTGTTAACCAGAGAAGTGGTTTGTAAATGTCTGTTAAGTTCTCTCTTTGCAGCGTCAGTTTTATGTATGCAAGTCTGAGAAATTAATGAAACGGGTTGATCTGTTGTTCCTTTTGTGGCACAAACTGTCTTTCTCACTTTCTCCCCCTCAGTCCAACAGCCTCAGAGACAGTAGCTAAAGCAGGAACTCTTTTGAGTGGGTGAGGGCACGTGTTGTTGTTATGGAAACTGGGCTTTTGGAGCTAAGTCTTATTGTGAGGCTGCTTTGGAGAAGCAAACAGAACGGCGAGTCTCTAGTGAGTGACTCTCCATCGAAATGTTCCACCACCTAATATTTGTTTATAAACATACGCAGCAAACAATGCTAAACGGGGAAAAGAAATGTGCGCAAAACGTCTTAGCTTTTTTACTTCAAAGCGAGCTCTATACTCAGTATTCTCAGAATAGTTCGATTACCCAACGAATGACTCATGTGTTTTGATTTTTTTTAATTAATCTCTTTAATGGTTCTTCTTTTTAATGTATCGTCCAGAACGAATGACTAACGTGATTTGGTTCTTTTTAATTAATCTTTTTAATGTCTCTTTTAAATGTCAAAACATATAGCTACAACGTGACCAGTATTCCGATTTCTGAACGAATATGAGACGGTTCATTTTACCAACTCAAAAAAAAAAAAAATAATACCATGAATCAGTTAGAGCAGTTACTGACTCACGTAGACTCACAGAACCACATATTATTATTATTTATCATTTTGTTCTAATCGAATTGAAGAACTGTTACTGTATTATGGCCGTGACTTAAATTAGCCTACTGAAATTAGGCTATTGGCTGATTGTTCATAAATGTCAACATGTATAGACTGATTAGACACTGAGTTTATGGTAGCTATTTTATGCATTTTTTATATAAAAAATACAGAAATGTCACCACATTTTGTTAATTGAGTGTTTTATGCATATATAGTTAGGATCAATATGTATTTAGCCCATTGTAATATATATTGCAATATAAAATATAAAATTATTTTTTATACATTTTATTTTTTATGTATTTATTTTTTTGTATAGGTTGTTTTGTATGTATATTTATGTTGTTTAAATCTGAAATTGTCTCATAGTTTGGCTACAGACAGTAAAGGCAATAAGAATTACATTTTCCCCCAAATATTTTTCCTCATAATTACTAAAATAATCCAGAAAAAAATTTAGAATGATTCAATTCCCCTTCTTTTAAACGAGACGTACCACAACGGCCAAATACTGTACTGTACATATAGGCTACTGTACGCCCATGTGTACGACACATGTGTGCATAAAAAGAGCTCAGACGAACGCGTCCTGTGTGAACTTCCACTCATAACCCAGATCATATAAACAGTGAATCATTCATAACCTCCGTGATTAGTCACGGCTCTGGCGCGTGGTGCTGAACGGACAGCGCCCTTAACTTTAACCTGCATGGGCGTGGCGCTTCAACTATCAAAGGGGCAACGACTCAGACCGCAGATAAAAGAAATAATAATACAAATTAAGAGTCATTATCCATTCTACGACTACACCTACCATACATTTCTCTGTGTACCACATCCACCGCGTGCTCCCCAAACACACAGAGCGAATGCTAACAAAGGTATCTCACAATAG